TTAACACACACACACACACACACACACACACACACACACACAATCCAGGTCAATGCAGCTCCATGGAAAAATCTCCTCATTTCCTTTTGTTTTTACAGACTTTTATTGTTCAAGGGATTTCAAAGAGCGTATTACATTTCTCTCGCTCGCTCGCTCACTCTCATTAGTTTCACATGCAATGCAGGGATAGTTCACTGAAAACGTATTATTTATTTACCTTTGTGTTGTTACAAACTTTATGATGGAACACAAATGGAGATGTTTGGTAAAATGTTCCACGCTGCTTTGTCTGTTTAACAAAAGCCATAATTTACTCCTCCAAAAAAGCACCTTGAAAGTAGTGTTTGAATTGAAAATTTCACATTTAAATTCAAATTTATTACAAACAGACCAAAATGTAAGTGATTGTTTGCTTCTCTTTGCATGTAGCTTTCAAATATAATGCATATTTGGTCTTTTCACATTGTGATTGGTCACCTGACATGTAAGAATCAATGGTGTTCAGTATTTGTCACTGAAAAAAAAAAAAAAAAAAGATTTTCTTAGTATTTTTTGTCTTGTTTTCAGTGTACATATCTAAACATTCTTAAATCAACATATACTTACTTGAAAAATGTATAAACATAAATTGAGTTTATGCTTAAACAAGAAATATATATTTAAAGAGAAAACAAGATTATTTTAAAACTGAAACTATAATCAAAACCATAAAAATAAACATTTTATTACTTAAAAATAAATGTTAACTGAAAATAAAATGCAATATAAAAAATAAAACATTTTATAAATGTAAATATGAAAATAAAAAAATAATTCAGCTAGCTGCCAAAGCAACATTTCTAATTTTAATTTGGTTTAATTAAAAAATCTGAATCTAAAATTGTAACTAAAATTGAAATGCAAATGGAAAATATAAAAATAAAAACTATAATGATACCAAAATAATTGGCAGATATTTTTTCTTGTTTTAAGCACAAAACCTTTTGATACATTTTATAGTGTTTTAGAAAACAAGACTTGATGTCAAATGTACAATGCAACATATTTGAATATATGTGATTGCAAATGAGATTTGAAAGCTTTGGTGGAAGGAAAGTTTTCCTCATATAAAGCTGTTGTATGGTACAGAAGATTATGCACACAAACCATATGAACTACTTTTATGGCTCTTTTGTTTGACATTTTTGCAACTTGACAGCCAATGGTCACCATATGTTTTCATTGTATGGAAAAAAATATATATATCTGTGTTCCAAGGAAGAGAGAAAGTCATGGGTTTTAAAACAACATGATGGTATGTAAAAAAAAAAATTCTCCCCGCTGGGAGAAAACTGGAAGACAGAGAAATTGTGATGGCAATAACAAATAAAAAGCCTTGCATGTCAGAAATCGATGTTTTGTCAGGATCTTTTGTGCTCTGTGATCAGAGTAAATGTGGAGATGCCCGTGGAAAATGGCTGAAGGGCCGAGATTTCCCCTGCTGCTTTCTGATTGGATAATTCCCCTGCATGTCTCTGATTGGATAATGGTCGTGTACTGCTCGGCTCAGGCTCTGTTTGTTTAAAAATCGCTGAGTTTATCTTCGTTGTTCTTGTCCAAAAAAGCTTTTAGAGCTCTGAAATTGTTTATGGGTTGGAAAATGAACAGTCGGTACAGTTTTGTGAACATTGATTGGTTGAGCACCTACATGAGTGTGTGTGTGTGTGTGTGTACTTGTTTTTCTATTCTGGTGGGGACTTAAGCCTGAATACACACAGACTCATGGGGACTCGTGTCACGGTGGTGACCTAAATTGAGGTCCCCACGGGTAAACAAGCTAATAAATCACACAGAATGAAGTTTTTTGAAAATCTAAAAATGCAGAAAGTTTCCTGTAAGGGGTAGGTTTAGGTGTAGGGCAATAGAATATATGATCTGTAGAGTATAAAAACCATTACGCCTATGGAGAGTCCCCACAAGGATAGCAAACCAGACGTGTGTGTGTGTGTGTGTTAATGCTGGTCTTCTGAGAGTCCAATCGTCTGTCCTTCCCTCTCTGATTTCTCCCGCTCTGATGTAGCGATCGCTCCAGCATGTCATTTGTCTTTCTGTTTGATGTGTCCACTGCTCATTTAAAGCGTGCCAGACCCCTGATCTCTCGCATCCCTTCGAGAAACCTAGCTCTGCCTTAACATCTCCCACACAATTATTTTTTAATAATACTCTGGTAAATAATTCTCATTTGAAGTCTTTTTTTAAATGCATGGTGGAGAGTGAAAAGACTGAAAGCAGAGAGCAAGATGTTTCCCCAAAGGCTATTAAATTAAATGTATTCATAACTCTGCCCAAATGCTGTAATCTCCATGACAACAAGACACATGGCAGGGGGCAAACGGGAAGTTCACGTTTCTCTCTCTCTCTCTCTCTTTGCAGGTATAAGGCCACAAATCATGAACGGTCCGATGCATCCTCGGCCGCTGGTCGCTCTGCTGGATGGGAGGGACTGTACCGTAGAGATGCCCATCCTGAAGGATTTAGCCACTGTGGCGTTCTGTGACGCTCAGTCAACGCAGGAAATACATGAGAAGGTCTGCTTGAACTATTTTTCTTGCATCACTAGCACAACAGCAAACATATTGTTTTAGTTGAGTTGTAAGTTTGCAGTATTAATTGAATCAGCAACTTTTTTGAATTGAATTTCGATTCTAATTTTTTAGATGAATACTCCAATACTGGAACTGGGCGAAAAAGAATAAAAAAAAAATAATAAATAAAAAAAAATATATATATATACAGTATATATATATATTACAATATACAATAATGTGCGTTTCTGTTTTATTAAAAAAAAAAAGTTTTTAGACTGTCACAACTTACCTTAACATGACAGATAAAATAGGCCGCCATATTAAACTAAAGCGTTTGAATACGCAAAGGCTAATGGACTACGCCTTTGTCTATTTGTTTATTTTGAATACGCGCCCTCTAGTGGCGAAAATTACATATTGTGCCTTTAAATATACTAATAACAAGAGTAATAATAGCAAAAAAAAAAAAATAAAAAATAAAAAAAAATATATATATATACAGTATATACTGTATATATATATATATATATATTTGACTATCTTGTTGTCTCTTTGTTTGTTTATTTACTTATTTATTTATTTCAGCATTTACCCAATATTTAAAATATATCTCAATATGTTAAACATTTTCACCAAACGATTAAATGCCCCAATACTGGGTACATTTATATTTATATAATATAATATATTTGTATAGTTATATATATATTATTGGATTAATTTTTTTAAGCCTTTTGCCAATATTCAAAATATATATCCATATTTAAAACATTTTTCCTATCAGGATTATATTTTATATAATAAATATTTACATAATATTTATATAGATATTTATATAGATATGTAAATATAATTGAACAGATTTTTCTATCTATCAGCTTCAATGCTGTTTTTCTACTTAAGTTTAAATCACACCGTAAATAAATAACAACCAAGCATGCAGCAACAAATAGCATGACCACTGTTGTCTGATTCACAAACTCCTATGAACCAGTTCTATTAAATAATTGATCTAAAAGACTCACTAATGCACCAGCTATGTGAATCTGTTACTGACTTACTGACTGGATGTTTATATGACAAAGATTTTGTTGTAATAAATGGTATGTTAATTAAAAGAACGTTGAAATTTGGTACATTAAGTAGATTTGGTTAATATGCATGTATGCATACTAAACAAAAACTGCAAGAAACACTGGCTCATAGAAACACATTCATTTCATAGTGACCCAATTATCAGACCCACTAACACTGTATATATTCATTTAGTGTAGAATCTCATTGCATTGAGTTAAATTACTCCTGTTTCATCACAAGGGAAAATTGCCTGTTAAGTTTAATCATATCTTTTATTGCAGTCGGATTCAGAATTACATGTTTGTAATGTGTGTAATTGCACAGATTACAAAACAAACAATTATCTGGAGTAAATGCATGAAATGACATGTAGATGAACATGGCAAACTCATCATAAGAAATGCATTACACCCACATACTCCTCCCAGGATGCTACTAAGAAATGATTTATGTGTCCTTAATAAACACCCCACGGCTTTATTCTCTGATGTTTATAGTGTAGTATAAATGTGTCTGTGGCAGGTGTTGAACGAGGCGGTGGGGGCGATGATGTACCACACCATCACTCTGACCAGAGAAGATCTGGAGAAATTTAAAGCCCTCCGAATCATAATCCGCATCGGTAGTGGATATGACAATATCGACATTAAAGCAGCTGGAGAGATGGGTAAGAAGTGTTTCCTGGTCACAATTTTTGGTCTTAAAGGGATAGTTCATCCAAAAATGAAAATTCTGTCATCATTAACCCTCAAGTTGTTCCAAACCTGTATGAGTTTCTTTCTTCTGTTGAGCCAAAAATAAGATATTCTGAAGAATATTCTGAAACATGGAAGTCAATGGCTACCGTCAACTGTTTGGTTACCAACATTCTACAGAATATCTAACTAATAAGCATTACATAACATTATAATACATTCTAATACTTATCTATTCATTGTTACACCTTTAAAAAATTATAACGCATTCAGACACATGACCAGCTGCACATGTAACAAGGAATTTGCTAATATTATAATGCAAAGAAATGTTTTGGAAGTTTGCATAACAACAACAACAATAATAATAATAAAAACCAGTAACACTTTATTTGAAGCATTTATATATAATGCATTATGAAAGTATTTTTAGCACATTAATTATACCTTGTAATGCACATTATGATTGTAAGCACAATTCTAATACATTATAATACTTACCTGTTCATTGTTACATGTATGTAATGCATTAAAACGCATGACAAACAACCAGGTGCAGATATAGCAAGGAATCTGCAAATATTATAATGCATTTTAACTTTATTATTTATGAAACAATATAATGCATTTCAACATATGAATACTGATATAATGCATGACACATAATGCATTATACATAACAAAAAATCAGGTGCAATGTTGTTTTAGCAGCTTTCTGGACAATAAAATACACCTAATTAATGACAGTGAGAAACCTGAATGGTAGATGATATTGTGAAAAGCCATAGCAAATAAAATGTTGAATAAAACATGCTACTGAAATCAAATACTGCTTAGCTGAGAAACCAAGTTGAATCTTTGTTCAGAAACACAAAGTACTCTGCATGTAGTAAAGAAAAGTTGGATGTTTGAAAGTTTGAAAACCGAGACAGAAGGAGGTACAGGAGAGAGCTATTTGTACCTCTGGGACAGACAGTTTATATGGTTAGAATAAAAGGAGAAATATTACAGATACAGCTCAATACAGGTCAAATCCATGAATGGAGAGAAGATGGGATCTGGGGTTACTTGACTATCAGTGTTTATAGACCATCTGAGGCCATTTGAATCTGGTTTATAGAGTGTTCTGATATGAAAAGATTCATATTTACATGTTGCATAACATTTGTGCATGTCTGCAGGTATTGCGGTGTGTAATATTCCATCTGCCGCCGTGGAGGAGACGGCAGACTCAACACTTTGCCACATCCTGAACCTGTACCGGAGGAACACCTGGCTGTACCAGGCCATGCGTGAGGGCACACGGGTCCAGAGCGTGGAGCAGATCAGAGAGGTGGCATCAGGGGCCGCCCGCATCAGAGGAGAAACACTCGGACTTATTGGCTTTGGTGAGGGACAGAGATACTGGAACAATTATGCAGATTATTATTATGCAAAGGTGTTGTTTTTAACTAAAACTATTAAAAAAAAATGTTGTTAAATTAAAGAATGTATAAATAAAATATAAATATGTTTACATAAAAATAAAAAAACTTAAATGAAAATATTCTTGCCTTGGCAACTAACTGAAATACGTTTTATTTGACTTACAAAAATGACTAAAACTACAGTTGAAATAAAAAAAAATTCAAGCAAGCAGAAATAAAAGAAAAGAAAAAATGCTAAAAGCAAAAAAATACTACTAAAATTACTGAAATAAAATATATTAAAATATAAAAATTAAAGTCAAAATATGAATAAATAAATAACACTTTGTTGACAGTTATGCAGTTGTAGTAAGCATGTAATAATGCTTGCTATGTAATAATAATGCTTGTTAATGTCATTTAATGAAAATTATTGCTACTATTATTGAACTAATTATTAGTTATCATAATAATAAAATCAAACTAATTCTTATAAATATATACGCTAATACATTTTATAAAACTGATTTAGTTATATTTATGTTTGAATGAACATGAACTCATTTACTGTTTTTGTAACAGCAAAATCATCATAACTATGAAATAGCACAAATTAAATGATAGGAATTATAGAGATCAAAACATGCACAAATATCTTCATATGTGACCCTGGACCACAAAACCAGTCTTAAGTGTCGATTTTTCAAAATTGAGATTTATACATCATCTGAAAGCTAAATAAATTAGCTTTCCATTGATGTATGGTTTGTTAGGACAATATTTGGCTGAGATACAACTATTTGAAAATCTGGAATCTGAGGGTGCAAAAAAAAATCTAAATATTGAGAAAATCGCCTTTAAAGCTGTCCAAATGAAGTCCTTAATCATGCATATTACTAATCAAAAATTAAGTTTTGATATATTTACGGTAGGAAATTTACAAAATATCTTCATGGTACATGATCTTTACTTAATATCCTAATGATTTTTGGCATAAAAGAAAAATCTATAATTTTGACCCATACAATGTATTTTTGGCTATTTCTACAAATATCCCCGTGCAACTTAAGATTGGTTTTGTGCTCCAGGGTCACATATGTTGATAGTTATATATAGGCACAATTTATCGCTGTCTATAAGACTGATTTCAAGCATTTAAGAAAAATTCAATTAAGTGTTCAATTTTGACCTGTAGACATGAAGATGTTGCAGAAATACTGCAGGAATAGTTCAAATAAATGATGTCATCATCTAATCAGGTCACTTATGTCAAATTTCAAGTTCCAAAAAGGACAAAAAAGCACCATAGTTGTCCATATAAGTTATATATGCCATCCTAAAGTCATTTCTGCTGGATGGGTTTGTGTGTTTACATGTTTATGTATATTTGTCTCATAGGCCGATCGGGACAGGCTGTGGCTGTTCGAGCAAAAGCGTTTGGCTTCAGTGTGATCTTTTATGACCCGTACCTGCAAGACGGTTTAGAGCGATCGCTGGGCGTCCAGAGAGTTTACACCTTACAGGACCTCCTGTACCAGAGCGACTGTGTGTCTCTCCACTGCAACCTAAACGAACACAATCACCACCTCATCAACGACTTCACCATCAAGCAGGTACATTACACACAAACGGCCCAATAATCCCATCCGGCGATCAGGAGCTCCATCTGGTGGCTGTGGCGTGAACATGACTGTGAAATATCATGTATGATGTTTTGATAGATGCGACAGGGAGCATTTCTGGTCAACACAGCACGAGGGGGTCTGGTAGATGAAAAAGCCCTGGCTCAGGCTCTCAAAGAGGGCAGGATACGGGGCGCCGCCCTGGATGTTCACGAGTCTGAACCCTTCAGGTAACATTTGGAATGACATACCAATTGTAATCCAAACTCCATGTTACTTTATCTTAGGTTATTGGATGCAACTCCAAACTTTTCTTCAGCTGCACCAAAATTTGCTTGCTATTAGTTCTATACACTCTTAAAAATAAAGGTGCTTCACGATGCCATAGAAGAACCTTTTTGTCTAAATGGTTCCATAAAGAACCTTTAACATCTGAAGAACCTTTCTGTTTCACAAAAGGTTCTTTGTGGCGAAAGAAGGTTCTTCAGATTACAAAAAGGTAAGAAAGAGATGAAAGAGACTGAATGGTTCTTCTATGGCATCGCTGTGAAGAGTGTTTAATATGCGAAATTAGGCTTAGTGCATTCTAGATATTATAGTACATTGAAAATGGCCTATTGTTTTTGGTGGATTTTCAAAATGTGCATCCATGAATGCTCTTTTGGCTAATATGTTACCCAAAAAAATGCAAATCTAATTAATGCTTACTTTTTAGCTCTGGCATTATACTTTTCTAGAACATTTGATATGTGCTGCACTGCATGTGTATTTATTTATTTATAAAACTGGTTTAAATTGCTTCTTCTTTATTTATTGTATTAATGTCACTTGATTATTCTTACTCTCATTTGATAGTTACTTTTATTAGTATCCAAAATGTTAGTATTAGTATTAATATTAGTATTAATACATTTTAATATTGAAATGTATTGATCCAAAGTTGAGTCACAATACATTTTAAGGTAATTAATTTAGTTTGCTTTTCTTTTTTTTTTTTAAGAAATTAGTACTTTTTTCAGAAAGGAAATGTAAGTCCAGGTGAATGGATCAAAAGACATTTATAATGTTACAACAACAAAAAAAAAAACATTTCAAATAAATGCTTTTCTTTTTAACTTTCTGTTCATCAAACAATCCTGGAAATGTATACATGTTTCCACTGAAATATTATGCAGCACAGCTGTTATCATGTGACACTGAAGGCTGGAGTAATGATGCTGAAAATTCAGCTTTTCATCCCAGGAATAAATTACATTTTAAAATACATTCAAATAGAAAACAGTTATTTTAAACTGTAATAATATTTCACAATATTACTGTTTTACAGTATTTTTAATCAAATAAATTCAGCTGCAATGAGCATAAGAGACTTTCTTCGAAAACATTAACAAAATCTTACTGACGGTAGTGACGTTTAATGTGTAGTAAATTGACATAAAGTCTAATTCTGTCTTCCTCATCCTCTGGTTTTCTCTCAGTTTTTCTCAGGGTCCTCTGAAGGACGCGCCCAATCTGATCTGCACCCCTCACACGGCGTGGTACAGTGAGCAGGCCTCACTAGAGATGAGAGAGGCAGCGGCCACTGAGATCCGCAGGGCCATCACCGGTACTAAATCTCCCATTGACTTCATGTATTAAAATATTTGCTATTCAAAATGTAACCACTTCTGATGATGAGCAATGAACATTGTGATTATCAATATGGGCAATATCAACTGTGAAGAGGGGAGTCCTGATTTCTCTCTCTTTCTTTCACTTCTGTCTATATTGCATATATTTTCAAACTATCATTTTACCTCAAACATTATTCTTTTGCTGCCTAGTAAGCACTTGTATTTCCTTCAGGAAATGTAAATCTAGTTTCTTTTATAAGCTCTCTATCTGTCTCTCAAAGCATCCGTCCTGTTGTAAATCAGTCATCATGTGTTGGGTTTGTTCTGGATTTCAGGTCGTATTCCAGACAGTCTCAGAAACTGCGTCAACAAAGAGTTTTTTGTGACTACGGCGCCGTGGGGGGTGATGGAGCAGCAGGTACATCCAGAGCTCAACGGCGGAGCCTACAGGTGACAAAAGAGATCATCTGTTATTTCACACATCACCTCGTTCATCATATCATACTAACCCTTATTCTATGCATCCTTGAGTTTGTTACCATCACATACACCCTCTTTTCTAGGATTGACAATATAGAACTAGTTCTTATTTAGAACTAAACCCGAAAGATTTTCAGTGCATTCATTTCTGTTAATCTTTCAGTCCTAAAAAATAATTTTTATATAATTAACCTTTTTTAAATCATTTTCTTAAAGGGGTCCTATTATGCTCTTTTACAAAGTCTTGATTTTGTTTTGGGGGTGTACTAGAACAGGCTCTCATACTAGGTTGTTTGAAAAACACATTATTTTACGTTATTACAGCACCTCTCTCCCCAGTCTGGCATGAATGGCTCGAATAGTTCCTGTATCAAATGAAGGCCCGCCTTCTGAAATACGAAATGTGCTGTGATTGGTTAGTTGGGCCAGTGTGTGTTGTGATTGGCAGCACTCGGCGCCTGGTCGGGAAATGTCATGCCCGTTACCATAGCCGTCTGCGAGCTTCAGCGTAAATATTGCATCAAAATCAAATCGAGCACGATTTAAACCCGGATGATTGTAACCACTCTAAGTTTGTCTGCCTTGGGAAAGCTAGCATGTCTCCGACATAGTGATAACACTCGTTGCCTTCTCTAGTGCAGCTCAACCAGGTCTCGTCCCATTCGTCGATAATTGTGATATCACAAATCCCGGAAAACATGCGTTATAGTCCAAACGAGTCGTTCGTTGTAGTTTTTGAAAAGTGATTTCTGTTAAATAAAATATCTCCTTTTGAAGTGGACTTTGAGCTTTGTAACTTTGCAGATCTTTTTTATGCTCAAACAGCAACATTACAGACTAACTAAAGTCGAAAAAGTGAAAACGCATAATAGGACCCCTTTAAGTAATTTATTTTTAATTATAAATAATATTATTATTAATTTTATTTATTTTTTTTATCTGAAGTATTCTTTATACTATAACTATATAACAGCATGTGATAATAATATAGACAGCATTTTTATTGAACAGTTTAAGTTTGTTTTTCCTACTACATTGGCAAATGTTTTTTTTTCTTGTTTTCAGTATAAATATATATTTACCAGTGAGACACATTCAGAAAATTATGTAGTAAATGGTATAATAGTAATAGTTGAATAAATGGTATAATAAATATTAGTTGTTATTAAATAATAAATAGTATTTTATTATAATATTTACTAAAATAATTTATTAAATACTATGATAATAAATATTAAGAGTTACTAGTAATAGTAATAAATGGTACAATAAATATTTTTGTTATTAAATCAGTAGTATTTTAAATATAGATTTGTCTAAAATAGTATAGTAAGTAATATAATAATAGTAAATTGAAATAGTTTATTTAATGGTATAATTAATAATAAATGGTGTTTAAAAAAAAAAACTCAGAGTATGTTACAAAAATGCTGATGTTTTTGTTTAGTCATTGCAAAAGTGAATAACAGCCACAAAAGTACTAAATCAATGAAATTGGTGATAAACTTGAATCATCCAATTAAAACTGAATCAAAACCAGACTGAATCCCTGTTCTTTTCCCCACTGGACTGAAGATCACTCCTTCCAAATTCATTGATTCCACTGTATGAGCAGCCAAGCAGTACAGCGGCTGTGTTCAGCTATGCAAACACGCTTCATTAGTTCATCCCTGTGTAGTGAGTGTTATCCCTCCAGGTCACCATATGCAAATAGACTCAAACGAGACCGCTGTCTGTCCCTGTGGCACACATAAATTAACTTCGACAGAATCACCTCTAGATTTACCCGCTATGACCCTTCTGAACATTTCCCTGAACTAACACTAGCATTTTTATGCATTTAACTCTCCAACACACACACACACACACACACACACAAACCAGCCCGATTGTGTTGCTCAGTCTGATTGCTTCTCTCGCTCAGCAGAGTGGCCCAGCCGCTACCAGCCGTTTCTCCTGGCGGCCTGCAAGACAAAATGTATACCTAAACAATGACAGGTAACTACTTACAGCGTGCTGAGACACAGAGCTCAAGACACCGTCCAAACAGATCTAAAAACACTTGATGAACAAAATAAAACGATATCATCACCTTTTATTTTGACATTGCTCATTCCCATAGAACATGCAAATATCATGTGATGCCTGCTAATTGGTTTCTCATTAGTCCTACCGTTATTTAAATTATACATAATATTTGTTACCTCGTGTTTTTAGCTGTGTTGTGTTTGCATTTGTTGTGCTAAATTAGACTGCCACCTTTTTTTTTTTTTTTTTGAGAAATTGAGAAAAATTATTTGAGAATTCAGTAAATCAATCAATAAAGAAATACATGATAATAATGTGAACGTAATGAGTATAAGTGATCCATTAATTTTTAGAAATGTCGAATTTTTGTAGAAGTTATCACTTTTTACATTGATAATGATTTCTTGTGTCAATTTTTAACTTCCAATTCAAATATGACAAAGTATATTCACCTTTTGATGTTTTTAAACTATTAAATGAATAATTATTTGATTTTAGCCATTTAAGATAAATAAAATGGATACATTTAAGTCTCTTCTGATAAAAATACAGGAAAAACAGTAATATTGTGAAATATTATTACAATTTAAAATAAGTGTTTTCTATTTGAATCTATTTTAAAATGTCATTTATTCCTGTGATCAAAGCTGAATTTTCAGCATCATTACTCCAGTCTTCAGTGTCATGATCCTTCAGAAATCATTCTAATATACAGATTTGCTGCTCAAGAAACATTTATTGTTATCAATGTTGAAAACAGTTGTGCTGCTTAATATAGTAATTTTGTAGAAGCAGTGATGCATTTTTGCAAAGATGATTTGATGAATTGACAGTTAAAACATTTTTTTTATTAGAAATCTTTTATAACATTATAAAAGTCTTTGTCACTTTTGATCAATTTAATGCCTCCTTGCTGAATAAAAATATTAATTTATTAAAAAAAAAAAAATCTTACTGGCCCCAAGCTTTTGAGAAGTAGAGAATATAGCAGTGATTTGTTTTTGTCTGCAAAATTAAGTTTAAGCATTAAAGCTGAAGTCTTGAGATCAAAGGTTTTTTTTAAAGAAACCTGAGAAACATTTCAATCAAATGTGCCCAAACTTTTGCTAGAGTATAAATGAATGAAGCTTTTGAGTCTGTAATCATGTGGTAAAGGGCGGAGCATAAAGCTGACGACCTCATTATACCTCTCATTATTTCCTCTGTATTTTCTCAGGTTTCCTCCTGGTGTGGTGGGTGTGTCTCCTGGTGGCATGGGTGGACAGATAGAGGGCATGATGCCCGGCGGGATGCCCGGGGCCCATCCCCTGCCGCCGGGCACCCAGCCCAGGCTCGCCCCGTCCCCCACCCAGCTCCTCAAACACAACGACCATAGAGAACACCTCGCCAAGTCATAACCACCTGACCACTGACCGACAGTCATTCAGCAAAACTGCAAATCAAAGAGACTAAGAGACAGTAAACGGGTGAACAAGCAATCAGCTGCCGCTAGCTGCATCGGAGACATGCTTCACGGACGTCTCTCCATCGTCTTGTTTTCAGTTTCAGTGTTTTTCCATTCATTTCCATCGTTTCTGTTGTTCTTGTGAGGGGAGGACATAATTTCCACCTGTTTTTGAAACAGGTGGGCGGTGCTTTCTTTGTCGGGGGCGTGGCATGACATAATGGCCACACCTCTTTTCTTGTGCACCACTTACAGAGTTCGAAACGTTGACAGTTATCAGATGCCATGCACTTGTCTTCTTCCTCTTCGCCTTATTTGGGCCCCTAAACAAAACTCATAACTGTTTCTTTCTTTACATCCACAGAATTAGTGCTTGTCTTTGTTTGAATGTTAAAAGTGCTTGATAATGAAAATATATATATACAGTGTATCTATTAAGAGAACAGAGAGGTAAAGGCTGGTCTTGGGCAAAAATGAAGATGAATTATTAGCTTTTATCCAACATTTTGCATAGCTGACCTCTTGTTTACAGAATTGCACAAATTCAACAAGCACCAGCTCAGAAACAAGTCCTCTTCAAGACCCAAGAGCACACTATTTTACTGATATATCCATTCATTTCGGTTCAAAATGAGTTTGCAGGATTTAAAATACAAACTGCGTTAGGTTTTAAGATGTCAGTTTCCAAAATCTTCGATTTGGATTTGAGTGAACGTCACCGTGAGGGACATAATTTTGATTTTGTGTTTGCTTTAAAAAAAAAAAAAATAGATGGCAGCTCACACAGAAAAAGGGACTGGAGTGAAAAACCGCCCCTGTCTCAGGAAGAACATTTACCGGTTACTCCAAAACACACGACAGCCCCGTCTAAATACTCGCTCCTTCCCATCAGCCTACCCGAGGTATTTTTATAGATCTGACATCCAGTGCGTTTTTGGTGTTGAATGTATGGCAGTTAAATTAGATTTGTATTGTCTAGTTTAATGTTTTTGTAACCATACTTTCCTGTGATCCTCTCCCTGTTCCTTTTCATTTTGGGTTCTTTATGTGGAAGCGCACTGTTCGGAGCTCATTGTGTTGTTTATATGCAATATTCTGAGGTCCTCGGCCAACTCCAGTCAGGTTGGTTCTGGAACTGTAGGTTTGGTTTTTAGTGTGAGTATTTGTATTTGTTTATTGTACCGAGGTGAACAGTTAACATACAGTACAGTTCAAATAAAAAATACCATTCTGACTTTCTATGCTGTGCTTGTGTGTTTGTCTCGCTTTACACACACATTTATGAAGGTCTGACAGGATTTGCAGTATGTAATGACCTTCAGATAACCCCCGCATGCGTCTGGACGCCACAAGGGGTCGCTGTGGATCTGGGTTTATAGGTTTTTTTATGCACGATAATGTTCAATCATATTTATATGCATACTTTTGGTAAAATAATAGAGAGAAACTAGTCTTTTACAACAAATAAAAAATGAGAACATTAAAATAAAAAACAAATCATGCTTAAGCATTTTTCGGGAGTTTCAAGATGACAATATATATATATATATATATATATATATATATATATATTTATGATATAATATATTTATGTTTATGATAATATATTTTATTTATTTATGTGTGTGTGTGTGTGTGTTAAGGCTAGTTTCTGTCTGTCTTTACCCAAAATAAACCCACCCCAAAACACTTAAGGCACTTATTTTATTTATAATAATAATTATTTATAAATCATTTATAACCTAATACATGTATCCCTGTAGTGTCATTATATATTAACATTCTGACATTCACGGCATGTGACAATTGGCTTTTTGGGGTCATTGTCATATTCTACACCCCCATTTATTCATTTTAATATTTGTTATTTATGGCTACATCATTAAAATGCTATGTTATTCACTGTTATTAAATAACATTTTTAAAAAATCTAATTATTTTAAAGTTAAATTATGCTATTAAAAAGTTATTTTTAAATAAAACATACAAGTATAGTTTAGTCAATTATTTCCTAAGTAAATTGTTTGACTATTTAACATTCTGATATAATATGGCAATAAAATGTTCATGTTTTGTGTGTGTCCTGTAAATTTAGCCTATTCCTTTTTCAATATTCAGATATGATCTTTTTTACCTGATATGCCTGTGTTTTGTCCTTGCTTGCTTTCACTCCAGTATTTGCTTAGTGCTGATATTGTGGGATGTGGTGTTCAGATATGACAGGACTTTGGACACTGGCATTGTTCTGTGCGTCTCAGTAGATCAGTGCTGTCATAGTTTGAATAGTTCACATGAACAGACAGTGTTTTAGTGCTACAGTGAATGTCATGAAACTAAATCTATTCTTGGATAGAGCATTGGTCATGTGAGGTGCATGACCAATGCTGGTAAAATCCGTGTGAACATAATGGAAAGCTAGAGTATTCCCAGATGCCTGTTTGACCAATACAATGGCAGTATGCAACGCAATGAAAAAAAAAAGTAAACGTAAGGCATACATTTTTATATAGTATCATATGTTAACTATTGCAAAACAAATTAAACTTTATCAAATGCATATATCATGCAATAATTCCGCAACATTATTTTGCAACTTGCAAAATTAAATTAAATTAAAAGTTACAGAGAATTAAAGAGAAAATCTGTGGCTACTAAATACAGGCCAATAATACCTGACAGTAACATAGGTTGAGTGTGTGTGTGTATATATATATACATTTTGCTCTGTTTTGCTACGTGTACTGTGTTAGGCTAACCGAGGCTTGTCATTTGCACTTATATATTGTTGCTTTCGTTTCACTTTTTAAGGAAATAAGAGAGAGATTGGAGCTCTTCCGTATTTGCATTGAATGACCTTTGCATTCTGGCTCCTCCCACTTCCGCTGCACAGGTGAGTCGTGCGTGACGTCATCGAGCATGAAGGCAGGAAACTGCGTTTGGTAGTTTTTCCTTCTAAACTGGGTTCAAATTCACGGATACAGATATGTGTGATTTCGGTAAGACGGTCGTTTATTTCTTTTTATTGCAGGTGCGAGAATTATACGTGATTTATAGTTTAACTCAAGCCGTAAAAAACGGTGTCCGGAGAAAAGAAGCCTCCGACAATCAGTTATGTGTTCTCGTGAAGTGCGCGTCTGGTGTAATGTTTACATTTTCCTCATTTCTATTCACTGTAGAAAAGAATATTTAGCAGCTGAATAAACCTTTAGGAACAATATTTTGCACTAAATCCTGCTAAAGCAGTTTTCATACACAACTATAAATGTTATAAACTATATAAATCAGTTGATATGTATTACAAGTAATTTTTTTTTTATTGAGGCATCACTTAAAATGTTTGTCAAATACATTTCAAGATAAATAAAATCCACTGGAGTTCTAAACGTTTAGTTTGTTCTGAGAAAAGATGGACTTTTAAGTCCACTGTATGAAAGTGTGCTATATTCTAGACAAGCAGAAGGGCCCTGGGCTGCTGATGAAGAAAGGATTGACCCTCATTGTCATCGGTCATGTTAATTTCATCCTGAGTGCCATTGTTCATGGCAGCGTGTTACGCCATGTATCCAAACCCAGCAATGAGATCTCAACAGAATATACCGTATCAAACATCATCTCCGTCTCCTCAGGACTGCTGGTGAGTGGTTGCACTTCTGTGGCTCCTAAATGATGCTGATTCAACTCCTGCATGTAGGCCTGATCTCCAGTAAGTGATGCTTTCTGAATCTCGAGAATATTCACTCAGAGAAGGCCTGGTCACATGTCTGTAAATGTAAATTAAAGAATTTGCTACTACTTTGGGTATGCTGCATCACCCAGTTCACCCGCGTACAGTCTGCATATTGACTTAAGGAATATTTCACACAAAAATGAAAATCTGCGCAAATTTTACTCACCCTCAGGTCATCCAAGATGTAGATTCTTCATCAGAGAAGATTTGGAGAAATGTAGCGTTACATCACATGCTCACCAATGAATCCTCTGCAGCGAATGGGTGCCGTCAGATTGAGTCCAAACAGCTGATAAAAACATCACAATAATTCACGGTAATCCATATGATTCGAGTCCATCAATTACCATCTTTGTGTTTGTAAGAAACAAATCCATCATTAAGGCGTTTTAACTTCAAACCGTTGCTTCTTGCCAAAATATGAGTCCATAATACATAATCCGTAATAATGCTTCCTCCAGTGAAAAAGTCCATCCCGTGTTGTCCACTCACATGAAAATCCACTAACCTATTTGTTTAGAACTGTTTTCGCTTTGCTTGATCTGTGCATATTTCTCTCCTGATTCAGATGAGATCATCTTTTTCACTGGAGAAAGCAATAATGTGGATGGAGGACTTGTTTAAAGTAAAAAATGTCTTAATGATAAATTTGTTTATTACCAATATGCAGCTTTTTGCTTCACAAGACATTAATTGATGGACTGGAGTCATGTGGATTATTGTGATGTTTTTATCAGCTGTTTTTGGACTCTCGTTCAGACGGGATCCATTCACTGTAGAGGATCTAAATTTCTCCAAATCTATTCTGATGAAGAAACAAACTCATATACATCTTGAATGGCCTGAGGGGAATACATGTAAAGCAAATGTTCTTTTTTTTTTTTGGGCGAGCTATTGCTTAGCTGTTTAGAAAATTGCTTATAAAACTATTTTCACACATATTTAACACACTGAACTTGTTGGGGTTCCCGAGTAGTTTTAACATTTCTAAATTTTCCCACAGAATAAGAAAAATCTCAAACCTAATCATGTTAACATGTTTTTCTCAGAGCATTGCAAGTGGAATTGTTGCAATATTGGTGTCAAGGAATATTACCAACTTGAAGCTGGTAAGTAGGCCTTA